ATGGGAGCCAGGTCCCCGCTTTTATCAGAAGGCCCTTGACCTGTGAAGAGACCTTTCGGAAGGCAGGAGCCCTTTGGGGTTGAGTATGTGCCCAAGAACTGGAAGATGATCAGGAAGGATGGGGTATCGTCCCGTCGTTCCTGATAGGTACCAGAAATATGAACCACTTCCACTGTGCAGAGATGTATTGCTTTGCCTGCATTTGCCTTTGCACTGCAGGGTGTCCCTGTGCCTAGCTATTTTGTCAGTTCTGCTGGGATTTGCAGAGAAGAGTGCTCAGAACTGTAGTGGAATGGGATTTTTCTCATTTTTCAGTGTGTTTTATGTATGTGGTGCTGGCATGCAAAGCCCCAGCAGTGGTTGTCAGCATCTGCTTGCTCAGTGTTGGTCTGACAGCTTTGCTGGCCTACTAGTTTTTTGTGTTGGATCACTTACAGTCACTAATAATACTGAGTTGTCAATATAATAAGTGTTTTTGGGGGTAACAGAGTTGAAACTTCCTGCCTCTTTTTGATGTTTGGTTGGTGGTTTGTTTGTTTTTTTTTTTTGATAGACTCACCTCAGTTTCTGTGAAGAATCAAGTGCCTCCTGCATTTCTGATGCAGTTTTGATTCAGATGTATTGTTTGAATTGTTGAAGATGTCATCAGGCCTTACAGAGGAACAACAGAGAAGAATTGAAGAGAACCGCCAGAAGGCTTTGGCTAGGAGAGCAGAGAGGCTAGCAGCCCAGAGAGGTGGGCAGGTGGGGATTGCTGGACCTCAGGCGAAAGAACAGAGTCCAGGCAATCGCGGAAACTTGAAGCAAGAAAGCAATCATGTTGGGTTCATTACCCAGCACCAACAGAATCCAAACAGTCCTGTGGAGCAGAAGAGCTGTCTTCAGAAGGATTATAATCATTACACTGCAAACCAACAGATGGCTGGTTCACATGGAGAGCAACAAAAGAATTGTTCAGAGGACTCGGAACAAGCAAGTGGCATTAAGCAGTGCCCTACAACGATCCCAAATTCTCTGAGTTATTCCCATAAACATTGCTTGGATGCTGGTGATCAAGAACAGGGACAACAAGCTTTAATTAATCTTGGTACATTCCAGCAGCCCAAGTGCTACCCAGCTTTCAAAAGCCCTACAGAACCATCTCATCCTAGATTAATTGACAATGAGTACCCTGGTGGTACTAAAGACTTACAAAGTCAGAACAAATCTGCCATAAAATATGTTTCACCACCAAGCAGCGCTACCCCGAGTGATTCAGAAATGCTGATAAACGCAAGCAGACCAATGGAAAGAGAAGGGGGAGGTGGTGTCTGTCAGGCCAGTAGTAGGATGCTGAAGCTGACCAGCTCTGCTGGTGCAGGCTCTACCTTTGATTCTGCCTCTTGCAAGAAAGCAAATAGTGTTACAAAAGGAAAATGTGTGAAATATGGGGAAGACCGATTCCAGGTTGAAATAGGGTATAATGCTGAGCTTATTGCTGTGTTTAAGAAGATACCAAGCAAAAGCTATGGTAAGAATTGGTTGTTTGCTGTTATCTCTGTTTTATGTTGGGTTGAAGTTTCAATGTCTGCTGGAACTGTAGTTGCTATATGCTCTCAGCAGTGCAGCTATTGCTGGGGTGGAATATGTGGTATTAATGGGGGACTGGAAAAGTAAAGACAGCTGAAATTGGAAAGAAATTCTGGGCGTAAATAGCTTGAGCTTGGTTTTAGCCAAGAAATCAGAAGCCCTGCTTTATGAAGGCCTCTAAGTGTTCTAAGAAGTTTAGTGATGGCAGCTGGTCAGTCTTTTGGGAGTGAAGGAAGAGAAGTTGTTCATAAATTGGTATGGAAAAATGGGTCACTCCAGCTGTAGTTCGGAGCTGATGAACTGATTCTGTTAACTGAGTTACTGAGAGCAGTGGAGTCTCCAGCTTTTGGCTTGCTTCTGATGTCTTCTCCCTGCCTTTATTTGTTATATCGTAGTTTTGTTTCCCCCCATGTGTTGCTGCTCCCTGTGAATGGCTGCTGCATTCTTCTTGTCTTAGTATTGTTGTGCCCTGTAACTTTTTTGGTGTCATGTAGCTGTAAAACTGGGCATGCTGTTTTTCAGACATGTATTGAAGAGTTTGCATGAGTAGAGTGAATTCTCTCTTGCCTCACGTGAATATTTCACAGCACTACTTTTTTTCTACCCCAAATGATTCATATTCTTCCCTGTTTTAGATCCTGCTATGAAAAAGTGGAATTTCAGCATGGAAGATTATAGCATTTTCAGTAAGTAAATGGGTTGTTGAATGTAAAATGGATCGAAGTCTTGACCCCCTTCCTCTGCCTTCCATAATTATTATTTAGCTTTGTTATTTTCTGGAGTAATAGAAGTAATGCTACTCAAATGTAACACCCATCTTTTAGTCATCTAGCTCGTAACATTTTTCTGGCACTTTACAGTTATTTAGAAATAACTTGATTTTCATGTAATCTAAATGCCAAGCATAGGTTTAACTTTTTCTGACACTGTAGGATCTTTTGGCAACAACAAGCCTGGTCAGAGGACAAATATCTGATGTGTGGGCACTTTGTATGAGTTTGTGTTGAGAACTGAGTGTGTTCTACTGGCTAATGCTTAATTTGTAGGTCTGTTCATGTATGTTCTTCTTAAACAGCTTTTTTTTGTTTGTTTTACCTTTTTTCCTGTTAATTTTGGGTGTCAGAAAAGGAAGAAGTGTAATTCTCTATAGGGCTTTGAGTGAGACTGAAAATGAAGTTGCCTTTTTTGGCATAACAAGGATTTTATCTTTTTTTTCCTCTCCTGTCATTTTGTTCTGGAAAGATTGAGAGATGATAGAGGCAAACACTTCATGTAAGCTTTTCAAAAGCACATTGTATTGAAGCGAGTCATAAATCACTATTGATTTCAGTGGGAACAGAATTAGGCCTGTGTTGAGCACTTCGAAAAACCCACAGTTGAGTGCTGATATTTTAGCTTCCCATGTGGGTTGCCACACATTTATAATTCAAATGCTGCTGGTTTGCTCGAAGTGTATGAAGTACAGGTGAGAGTATAGTCTCTGCACCAAGGAGCCTACAAATGAAGAGGACGGTTTTAAGAAATGAGGCTTTTTTCCTTAAAGCTGTCAAATATATGAGTTGTTTGTGGAAAGTTCGTGCTGACAAGGGAAGACAATATGTGATTGACATTGGTCAACGATACCAGGGGGAAAATACCCTGAGAAAAGGGAACTGACTTTGAAGGGCCTTGGTTTGAAGTCTTGTAAGTGTAAAAACAATTATTTTAAAACTTCCCACTGTTAGTTTTTTTGTTCTGAATAGTGTTGTCCTGTATTACATTTCTTTCTTTGTACTACAAATTAAACATGCAGACAAGCCTCAGAACAGATATTGAAATAAAAGAGTAAAATATGGGTTTTTTTCCAGTTGCTTTTTGTATTAGCTGTAGAGGTGAGATCTAACTATGCAATGCTAAAACAGTATCATATAAAATCTTGGTGCATTGGGAGGAGGAAGTCTGAACTGGTGGTTTCCCAGTCCTCTACTTTAAACATTGCTTTCACTTAATGCTCTTAAACTTTTTCTTTGTAGGAGAAATCTCAAATGCTTGAGTTTATTCTGGAAGTCACTTACTTTAAAATAAAGTTGGATGAAATACAAATGGTTTATTTATTAGCTGGTTGTGAAGAAAGTGAATTTCTTTCTTTCTTTCTCCCTTCAAGTTCCTACAGAACTTAAATTCTGTATGTTTTTGTTCCATTATCAGTAAGCTGGGCTATTTGAAAAGAAGGAAAGTGGATCATGATGTGCAGCTCAATGCTCGAAGGATGGGATTTGCCTGGATTTACTCTAAACAGCTTCTGCATAGGGGAGGTTGCCTCTCTCTGCAAATACATGGAAGCAGAATGTGCTTAGTGGTCCCCTGTTCTTGAGTCTAATGGACTACGGAGATGTTAACGAATCTTTGTGTTACTCTGGCACCTATGAGTTGGAGTCTTGGGGATGAACTTCCCTATTTTGGTGCTGTAAAAATACAAGAAAAAATGATTCTTGTTCCTTAACCATCACAGTTCAGCTATAATAAAAAGGTACCATATGGGCAGAGATTGGCAGAGAGACATAGGGAAAAGTGGAATGTTTATTAGTGTGGATAGCTGTGGCCACAGTAACATGTGTAAAGTGCTGTGTCACTTCTCTCCCCATGCCCTGGCATCATGACAGAGGTGGTGGTTAGTGATTAGTAAGATAGGAGTGCAGATGGCTGGAGGGAAGTACGAGTAAGTGTAAGACACCATAGCATAAAGGATGATGGACTCAAATTGTAACAAAGGAGATTTAGGGGTTTGAACTAGATTCCTTCCTGATATCCTTCTTACCGTATTGTGAATATGCAGCATTCCTCCTAGATAAGATTGGATATCAGACATTTGACATGAGGCAGGAGGCATATATTTTTCGATCCTTCTCCTTTGCTGTATGCAGAAGCACCTTCCCATCTTTTCAGGCACATACTATTGATCACCATGCCCCTGTCCCTGCAACTTTGTGAGTGAAGAGAAAACACTGTATGGCTGGGTGCAATTTACTGCTGAATGTGGTTCTGCAGGTTGCTTACCCTGGCCTAGTGAGCCATGTGTTTGGATTGCTGACAGGGAGGGAGCCTAGTGCAGTGACAATACTTGACAGGCCCTTGTTCACCTCCTGTCACATGTTCTCTCTACCCCTGCTGTATTCTCTGTGGAAAATCCCACCAACTTGCTCCTCCAGCCCATCACTCTATTCTTTGCCCCTGTGAGTGAAAGCAGGGAATAATCATTCCTTTTAAACTTGAAGTTGCATGGTATGTTTGTCATCCTCTTGTCCCTTCTCTTCCCTGTGATCCTGTGCATCTTTAGTTTATCCCTGTTTTTTGTTTTTAATTCTTTTCTCTGTATCTCATCCTTTTTCTCCCTAGTGAAAGCAGCAAATCAACTTTCGTCAGTAATTCTGGCACCACTGGAAGGAGAAAATGTAGTTGACTTGGCATCAGGCGCTCATGTCATTGGCAGTAGTGTTGATGTGAAATCCCTCTTGAAGATGTGTAAGAACTGGAAGAAACCCTCAGCCCTTGTCAAAGGGAAGTGCGTGCTGATCTCTCGCTTGCGGTTTGAGGTTGATATTGGGTATTCTGCAGAAATTATTGGACTGTTCAAACAGATGGATTCCAGAAACTATGGTGAGTCTCTTGTTGTTTCTTCTTTTTTTCTAATGATGTTGAGGCTGCTTTTGGAGTCCTGTGAATGCTTCAGAGGAGAGGGATTGTGAGAGTACATCCCTCTGAAAGAGCATGAGAGGATATGCTTTGGTGAAGATTTTTGAGAGCTCCTGTAGTTCTGATACAGTGCTGTATCTGTGTCTTGCACTTTACTCTGTGCCAGAACATGTACTCTTCCGGGCCTGTTAGCCAAGGTGATATTTCATCACTTGGCACGATTACATTTACTGTTGAGGTGAGATGTGCGGATAATTTACGAGCAATATAGACACCATGCATAAGTTCTTGTCCAATGCAGTTGGACATTCTCATATTTCTCGTGCTTTACTGTGGTGTATAATGGCTGCAAGTGCCTGAATGGATTGAGTTTGCCAGCAGCAGCTTTACTGATGTTTTTAAGGCAAATGGAACTGTAGAGCACTTTTTGTTGGCATTCAGATTTCAATGGTAAATATCAGTTTTTCCCACTTGTAATGTGGGAAACGAGGCACAAAGTGATGAGATGACCTGCACAGTGTCACAGCAGGTCAGTGACAGCACAGGGAACAAATCCTAGAGTTCTTGTTCTTTGGCCAGAGCCTCACCTGGTGCCTTGTGTCTTCAGAAGACTCTGAATTCACTCTACCTTCTGTGGAAGTTGTAGGCAGGTGCTGTTCATGTTACATTTTGGGTATTGATGAATTGGTGGATTTCCTCTGTACCATCCTGAGCACATTGTCTGTAGGGTACAGAGGTACAACTGAAAGCGATTGTGTTACTGACTGAAGTCAGAGTTTGTTGGTTAACAAGTAGGAACCTTCGCATGCAGTTTTCATCCCCTCTTGCAGTGAAGAAAAGGTGGTTGCCAAAATCCTTGCATGGGTCTGTTCATTACAGTGGTTCATTAGAGGAGATGACCTTGGCTTGCTTCAGTGATACCACCACTTCTAGATGTGTGCTCATACTTTTAAGTGTTTTTCAAACTGTTTGCTTAACATTGAAACAAACAGAGGAGAATTGATTGCTGGACAAGGTAAGAATTCTTTTAAAGTCGTTCTGAAATGCAGAGGGTATGGATGGCTAGCCATGTTCTTATGGACAAAGAATTCAGTCTTTTAAAAAAGAGACTTATGACAGTGTTTGTAAATATTGCAGATATGAACACCAGAAAGTGGAATTTCCTGCTGGAGGACTATCCCAAACTAAGTGAGTAGCTGCTTTTTTCTGGCTTTTTTTCTGGGGAGGCAAATGGATTTTAGCTAATTTGCTTGGGCTAAGCATTTTGACTCTGCAGAGATAAGTTGCTAACAAACCATGAAGCAGGTGTCTTCCTGTTTTGTCAGACATTTACACTGTTTGCCCAGACTCTAAACTTTATAAATGTGTGTTATTCATGGCAGTCCTTTCAGGGCCTGTCAGGAGGGTGGCTCTATTTTGCCAGATTCTGCACTGCATTTCTGTGCCATTTCTTGGAGCACATGTATGTATCTACTGTCATAAAGTTATTTTTATTGCTTATAGCATACACCAGCTCTAATGGATTCCTCTGTTCCTGCTTGCCAAATTTGAAGAGGTTGGCATGGTGCCTGGCCAAGACTTCCTGTCCTTACAGAAATTCTGTCTTACTGACTTTTTAGCTGTGCTCTCCTTACCCTCAGCGCCAGCCCGCCTTGCTCCTTTTTGCCTGTATGTCAATTCATGAACTGGCACAGCTACCACTTGCTTGGAAAACAAACACGCAGTTTTACTTCCGGTAAAAGTACAAACACGGCTGTTTTACTTCCGGTTCTTTAAGCAGCGTGCATGGTGATGTGCTATTTCATTTCACACCCAGCAAATTTTGTGTTCCAGGTCAGAGCTCTAGGTTTTCAAGTCAACTGATGTTTTCTGTAACAACCAGTTCATCCCCAGTTACAGTCTGGGTGCCATCTAGCTGATTTTGTTCAGCCTCATATGTTACTGCTGGTAATAATGGTTTTGCAGGCAGCGCACAACTGTTAAGTTTTCAGTTGATGTATGAGGCAGGTTAGATTTCAGGTTGCTTCTGTAGTTGAGTTGATTTTGAGGCAAATGAGAAGAGCTGCTTGTTTCACTTGATCTTTTAAAGAGAGCATGGTATTTTCCCTTGCAAGTGGAATCTAAGCGCATAGTGTTGCTACAACATTCATTTCTTGGTAGAAGTTGACCAGTAGACTCCTGCCTTTATGCATCTGTGTAATGGTAGTGAAACTGTGACTCACTAAATTGAGATGTAGAACCGTGGTTTGTTGTGTTTTGGTTTTTTTTTTAAAAATGGATGCCACTTTGCAGAATTATCCAGTCTTAGCAGCAAGCTCCTAGCACATCTGCTTCTTAGTTTTTTATGTTTAGCTAAGTTTATAGAGTGCTTTGAGCTGAATAGCATTGCACAAGTCCTAAGTATTATAATTATTATTTATCCTCCCAGTCAGCCTGCTGTGTTTGCCTTGGTAATTGTGTGAGGGGATGTGGCTGTGGAATTTGATTGGGGTAAGCTTCGGAAAGATAAGAAGCAAGGTGTTCTACACGCATCCTTAGAAAGTGTGACAGTGTTTCAGAGCTGAAATGCTGTTGCTCAGAGTAATTTTGCTCAAGCATGGGCTCCTGCTTCCACCGGATACTGAAGCACGTTTAATAATTGAGTATCTGCATGCTCCTGTGATGCATGTCTTAAAAATATTAGTAATGGTTGTAGGGCTGAAAACCATGTGGTGGGGCCTTGTACAAATGCCAGCTATTGAAAATTAGTGTGTCTTGGTGGGGACAATTATGAAACTCTAGGACTGGGATGTTGACAGGCCCTGGTTTAAGTGAGAGCTGATGATCTCTCACAATTTGCTAAAAGGGCCTTTTGTATGTGCACAGGGCCTGATCCTGTAGCATATGCTAGGCAGTCTGAGCAAACGCATCATCTCCCAGTCTGTCACTCTCTCAGCCGTGTTAGCTGGCAATTGTATACATCACATGAAATATTCAGAATCCCACAGATTTGAGGAAAGCAAAAAAAAAAATTCAGTAAATGTTCTTGCAGGCTGTAATTTGTGAGGGCATTTGAGGCTTCTAGCACGTGCCTTTTTGAGGAACAGCATTTGCTTTGTGCCTGTTCGTTTACCTACATCAAAATAAAAAAAAGAAAAGCATTTTGAAAGGCTGGTTGCCATTTCCAGCAGAGATATCTGTTAGCTGGGAACTGTTTGTAGAGGTTAATGTCTCTTTGCCTAGTTGCTCAGTCATCTTTATATAAAGGTCACTTCAGTAAAAAATGTCTGTTGGATGAATCATGCTGATGGCAGATATATCTTAATCACTCTCCCAGCTCATGTACAGAACAATAGCAACAGAATTATCAGTGAGCAAATTGTAGCAATTATGCTAACACATAGCTCAGTCTGTGAGTGTAATAACAAGCTTGTGCTGTGCTTCTGGTGGAGAGAGTTCCTGCTATTGAAGAAGTATAAATTAAACTGGAGAGTTTAAAAAGTTTGGTCATTGCCCAACCACAAATAGAAATCTTTTCATATGTATATTTCTTGGAATTGCTTCCCCCTTCATATGGCAGGGGTCCATCCAGCTGCCTTCCTTATGGAGATAACTGAAATGAAAATACCTAACTGAATTCTGGAGGTGCATTTACTGCTGGTATAGTGAATTCTTATTTCAGTCTTTTTGCAAACAGAGTTGTTTTATGTCTTCCTGACTTTGTATACAAACTAACCACTGAATAAAAAGAAGTTGCTTCCTGCAATAAAGGATCTGTGCGCATGCATTTGTGTTCCTAGTGTACAGGTGTCTTTTGTTTCTCAGTCAGTAGGCAGAGATTGATTATTAAACATGTTTTCCTGGTCCCAGCTCACTGCATGTTTTAAACTGGTATTTGTTTTCATAGAAATTTACTGTTGGATTAAAAAGAAATATTTTTATCTTTTGGGATGGGTTAGAGAGGCTGCTGGAAGTGACTGAAGTAAGGTTGTCAAGGAGGATGAGTGCTCTGACGCTTTGCTTGTTGTGATGCATGGGTTGCAAAGACGAAGGCCCTGAGGTCTTTGCGTGAGGGAGGCTGAGGATCCCTTTAGTTTGACTAGGAAGGCTTTATGCTGCAGATAAAGTTGAGAGGCTTCATGGATGAAACAAGAGTAGTGGTGAGGGACTCGAGTGACTGTCTGTGAGCTAGTTCTGGCCTTCAAGCTACTTCTGTTCAGGAGAACAGCAGTGGACATGAGCTGAGCAGGGAGTTGCTGTTGGTACCATGTTCCTGAAGGGTGGTTGTCAGAGTGCTGCTGATGGTGGTACAAGAGCAGTTTCTCTGAGTCTTGAAGTGCTTCCTGCTTTCTTACCCAAACATGGGAAACAAAGGGTGAGAAAGTGGAGACAGAGCCAAACCTGTGTGATTTTGGGGAACAGGAGGAGAAGAGTGTTCAAAGCTGAAGATATATATGATATTCTTTAGGTAACTGTGTCTCAGGTCACTCTTGATCACTCAGGGATAGTGCAGATCTCAGAGGTGTTTAATGCAGAGTCGCAAGGTCAAGATGAAGATGTCCCTGCCTTCTAGGTTTCAGGAGCTCTTTTGCTCAAATCCATACTTTTATTTCTGAGTAAAGTGTGCCCTAAGCTGCCCTCAGTGTGAATAATCCATCTCCAGCTGTATTAGTAGCAATCATCTCTGAATGATCATCGCTTTTGGTTTTTTATAACCAAGTCTAAATATGGGGGAAGAGATGTGATTCATCATGTGATTCTGAAATGAACTTCAGGCAAGAGGCCAGGTCAACACCTGTGCATGATAAAGTGCTTTCTTAAGCTGTTTCAGGATAGGAAATAATACTGTTGATGAGGTTGAGGGTTGTGCCCTGACATCCATAATGTAACTTATGTGTATGTTGTCCCTTCTGATAATAAACTGCTTTGTTCTTTGCAGTGGAAATGTTACAGAGCCTTGTGTCAATAGAAGTGGAGCCACTGCCCGAGGCAGTAATACAAACCTTTGCTGCTCAAATGCAGAGATCTGCACCACAGACAGACATTCCTGATGCTGACCTTTCAGTAGTGGACTCCAAAATTGTGACGAGCCTCATGCCCTTTCAGCGGGAAGGTGTGAAGTATGTCCTTTTTGCATGCTGTTGAAAGCTAGTCCTTGCCTAGAATTGTGTACTTGATATTGATGCCCAGGCTACATTCTCTCCCATGGAGGACTCCACATTTCTCAGTCTTGGGCTGTTAACACTCTGTCACTCCGGGCTCTTGGTTGTTTGGTATGTTATGGTTTGGTTTGTTTGGGTTATTTTTGTGGAATTTTTTTTTTTTGAGTGACACGTCTATTCTGTTTCTAGATAGAATTCTTCATCATGAGTCAGGAGGAAAGTAGCATTTTTCTAGTCTCGTAAAATTGTTCAAATGATACATATCTAATCTTAACTGTCATATGATTTTTTTATTTTGTAAGATATCGTTTTTTTCCCAAGTGCAACTCTTTGTTGTTGTTTTTTAAATATTAATTACACATGGGAAGGTGCCAGGAAATGGGACTCAGGCCCTGAAAAATTTAAAATGACTAATTCTATGTAGAGATAAACTTTTAAATGTCCCTGTCTCCATCATATATGGTCATTAGTTGTTGATTTCAATATGCAATCCAGAGAAGTCTGTGCTTATTGGTGTTAAAGTGGCATTGTTATTAATAATAGTTTCTCAGCTTGGCCAGGATAAAATCTGGGACAGAATGTGGGTAATGTCATGGAAAAAATATGCTTTAAATATTTGTAATGTCCTGAGATGACTACACATATGAAATCAAAGTCTCTAAGGACTGGGCTGAACCACTCTGTTCAGGAGCTTCCAAGCTTTGAGAGATTTGTGTGAGTTGCTCACTTGTGTTAAGACTAAGGGAGAAGATCCAGGTTTACTGAAGAACCCAGATCACTTCCAGGTGATACACGTTATAGGCTTGGTGATGAGTTGTGCTTATCTTGACTGCCAGGACAGATTGTAAACTGACTCTTACTTATTTCCCCTCTCTATTTTCTCCAGTTTCGCAATTCTAAGAAATGGACGTTTACTTCTTGCGGATGACATGGGCTTGGGCAAGACCATACAGGCGATCTGCATTGCTGCGTATTACCAAAAGGAATGGCCCTTGCTGGTGGTGACTCCTTCTTCTGTGAGGTTTACGTGGGCAGAGGTACTGTGAGCTTGTGCGTCTGCAGGTGGCCAGTAGAGAGCGTGTGTGATGATTGTGCTGTGTTGCACTCTGTACAAGTTAGAATTTAAAAAAGATGTATGTTAAGGGGAAGAAACCAAAACTATTCCTCATTTAGAAGCTTGAGGGGGGGAAATTGCTTGACATTGACTGTATGATATATGCCCATTTTCTTTTATTGGTTGATTTTCTTTTTGTGGCCCAGCTGATCTGTTGGAAAGAGGGAGATCTAGAGAAAATATCTCCTCTGACCCTTTTACTTTGTTCCTGCAAGTCAGCTGACTCCAAGGGTGGTGTTTTACTTGTCAGTGTCAAAGACAATAGTTGCATTCAAGCAATTGTACGTTGTGTTCAAGACCTTCATAGCAGTATTTGCTGGTCCCTTGGCTGGAAGAGAAGCCCAGATGCTGGGATTCTCTGCTTTCTTGACAAGGCCCTGTTATCATCATTAAGTGTCTGTCATAAAATATCTTTGGACCTGTCCACTGTATGCTTCTGATGCTTTCGAGTCCTCTCTTAATGTTGATCAGAAGCCCAAGAAAGCTTGTGCAGTTGGGAAATGTATACTGAAATAAATCACTGTCATGGCTTGTACACTGCACACTTGCACAGATGTGTTTTACTCTAACGGTAGAAGATTTTGTGGTGTCTCTGGAGCTGAATTGCCAGGAATTGTCTTCATCTCAGAGTTGCTGGCATTTTATTTTGGCTTTCTGGGGTCAGGCCTTTATATTCAAGGTGCCATAGGAAGCTAGTGGGAAGATGCAAGGTACTCTTGGGTGAGAAGTGTTGCGCCCATGTGCATTTGGAGTTCAGCATTGAAACTTAAATTAATGGTCAAGGCAGTTTCAAAGCACTTCTTGTGGACAAAGGTCAGCATCAAGTGAGAAATATAGAATCACTTTTACACGGAGAATTAGTCACATGCCCTTTATAAAAGGAGAGGGTGGTACAGGTAGGAGCTTCCAGATGCTTTCCCACTGCTGCCACCTGTATCTAGGTTTTGGCTTAGTGTCAGCCACATGTTTTTTTGTTTGGGATCTAACCTTGCCCGCATGTTGGCCCATTTAGGTTGTGCTGCTTACCCTAAGCAGTGAAGGATAGTTAGTTAGTTTCTCACATACTGAGAAGTGTGAGAAGCTCACATTTAATTGCTCTGGCTGCTGCATGTGATTGCTGAACAGAGGAGAGGAATGAGGCTTGGGGGTTTTCCACAAGTGAAGGGCCTAGAGGCAGAGGTGCCATTTCTCATCGCCACTCCTAGGATACATTTCTGTAGGGACCAGATCCAGATTGCTAGAGCCCCAGCCAGTTGCAGAGCAACATCAGCGGAACTCAAATGTTGCAGAGAGGTTGGTGTCATTGGGGACATAATTACAAGGGAAAAGGTGGGTGCTCAGTAGCTAACAGATGGATTTGGGGGAGGATAGCTTGCTCTGGTGTGTGGAGCATTTCAAGAGGTTGATTTGAATGACTATCACCACGTGTATTTCAGCTGCTGTCATAGAGCAGCTGGTGTGTTGTCAACTTGATCTTTTAATTTTGTTTGTTTGGGGGTTTTTTGTAGACTTTTTGAGGAGAGGTAGTGGAAGAGTTTTTATTTATCTGGATGAGTTGTACTTCATCCTCACTGTAGAGTGAACATTGCTGTAGTGAGAGATACTTTCTGCTTAGAAGTCCGTGTTTCACAGCCTGAGGTTGTCCTGTTGGATGGGAAAACTAAATTTCTGTGTCAGTAGTGGTCACTGTGTTCTCTGGCTCTGAGCATAGCAGGTAACATTGTCAGGAGGTTATGCATATTTCCGCAGCAAATCATCTTTTTTTTCAGTAAGAAGCAAAAATAGAGCATGTTTGAGCCTCCCTAGCTGTGGAAGGTAGATTTTGCCTTAAAGCCTGAATTCTGTTCTTGATCTTGCCATTGCTAGGGTTGTTGCCTTGGGAAGGCTGCTTACCCTTGCTGTGCTCTCAGCTGATGTCCAATGGCAGGTGGGATGGCTCCGTGTTGTAAGCATTCGTGAAGATGCTCTGAAGTGCTTTGAGATCCTGACAGAACATAAGCACCAGAGTGCAATTAATTGCTTTCCTCTTCCTCCAGGCATTTCACAGGTGGCTTCCATCCTTGAGTCCAGGTAGCACCAATGTTATAGTGACTGGCAAAGACAACCTAACAGCAAGCTTGATCAACATTGTCAGCTTTGACCTCCTCAGCAAGATGGACAAGCAACTTAAGAGCACTTTCCAAGTAGTTATTATAGTAAGTGGTACACTAAAATTTTGAAGTTCATTTTGTGCTGCAAATGGGATAACTTTCGTGTTGTACAGGAGAGAAGTGTGAAGTGGGCCTTATTTAGGACTGAAAGTATCTTATAATTGTGGCTGTGATTGCAGCTCTCTTCAAGAGGAGAAGTAGGAGGTTTCCCTGAAATCTTTTGAGGATAACTAGTAGAGTTTCATTCCTTTTTGACTCCTGAGGCTGTGTTTTCTCTCTTACTGGTTATGGTGCCCCTCCGATTTCATTGTGGTTGGGCATTGGGCATGTCCTCTGCTGAGAGCGAAGTGTTTAATGTGGTGTGTCAGTACAATAGTTTTGGAATTGTATCTTCTTAAGGGGATTAGACTTCAGGGTGTTAGTGCTTATCCAGTAAACTAGATAACCTCTCAGCATCAAGTATGTGGGTAAAGCATCAAAAAATTTCCCTTTGCTTTTGTTCTACTGGCAATCTGCATTAAGCCTTCTTTGATCCCCTATATAATTTCTTTGGTAAAATGCTTTGAAATCCATTTTTTAACCTTTTACAGAGCTGTGGTTAAAGGCATTTTTCTGGATTTTAGTTACTAAAGATTCAAAACATAGTGTTTCAAATCCAGCTTGGATCAATAGAGGGCAAAAGCATCTACACAGCTTACTATGAGTTTTTGATGTTCTCAGTCTAGTTTTCAGCACATATATGCACCTGTCCCTAAGATCATGACAATTGGAACATAGTAATCCCATTGTTTCTCAACATCAGATGGGAATGTGGGAATAGATGGAGTTCTTTGGAGACCAAACTACTTATGGGGGAAGTGATGCTTTCCCTGCCCCCCCCCCATCCCCTCTATGACAAGACATTCTGTCAGGGTGGAAATGCAGATTGATACTTTTGTATGCTGGTGCTTGGGGTAGAGAGACTTGGGCTCTAGGGCTACTGCCCTGGAACCTTTTACCAGCCCTGAGATGGCAGATGTTCTTTCTGTGTGTTTATCTGTTCAAATCTGGACCTTGTATATGTTTTTACAGATGAGAGTAGTCCTACTGAGTGCTGAGCTTCCCTGCTTTTTCTTCCAATCTTCTTTTGATGGCTAGGAACGTTAGTGTAGCTTATTCGTTAATCAGGAGGGAGAAGGCTATGCCTGAGAGGCTAAGCACTTGTGTTGTCTTTGCATGCGTGGTTGCTTGCTCGTCCACACATGGAAAGACGAGAATGTGCCCTTGGAGGGCACCAATTGCTTTTTGTGTCTAAGTTCTGCTTTGCTACAGCAGTAGAAATGAGGCCTGTTTGGGGGTGGTGTCTCAAGTAGGAGGCTATTATCCACCCAGTGAGCCCTATCAGCAGAACAGTTGGATCGTAATTAGATTTCTCTTTTTTCCTTATAGTTTTCATTAACCCCTTATTTAGAGAATTGACACAGTATGGGCCTCCTATGTTTGCTGCATTTAAAGGACACATGGGACAAATGAGTATCGGTGGTGAAAATAATGTTCCTCTTTCTCCTTCCGTCTCCAGCCCCCTCTGCTCACTTGTTTGTGGTTGTTTGAGATTCATGGCTTTAAGGTTTGATTTCTGTTCCATTTGCTTGCAGCCGTGGATCTGAATGTAGGAATCCTGCTACTCTCCATGCTGTCTTTTCATTTAGAATATGATGTGACTATTCCAGTGCTTGAAATATCCTCTGGGATGATAGGCTTGTAATATTAGATAGCTGAGAATACTGGGAATTTGTTCTGTAGCTTGCAGTTAGAATATGGATCAGAACTGTCTTCACTTTCGTGCTTGTTTTGTTTCAGGATGAATCTCATTTCCTAAAGAACATAAAAACTGCACGATGCCGAGCTGCCATGCCTCTACTCAAGGTGTGTATGCTGTGTGTCAAACTCTAGCAGCTAAAGTTGGGCTCCCAAAGCAGTGTTGCTCCATTTACTGGGTTTAGGAGCCAGCAGCTGAATGCTGTTGTTGTGCAAGTGGAAATCCGGGTAACACTGTAGAGCCAAGAGCAAAATCTGTCCCTGGCTTAGCCACCTGTTCCCATACAAATGTTAGGTGGCAAGACTTAACAAAAAGAACTTCAGAAGCTCCCTTGATCTAATTGTGGTACTGCCACTGATGGGATTTATGGTGGTGGGGAAAAAGGGAATGTCAAAACTTACTGAATGTATTCAGGGAGAGTAGAAAGACTATAGTAGTATCAACACAACTTATTTAATGGTACTAATCTTTATCAGTTACTTCTTGGTACACAGATCACTGCTGTTTATCAAAATGACATTACCTAGGTCCCTTCCTTGGCTTTGGTTTTGAACTCTGTTACTGCAAGCTTCCAATGTATTTGTGTGGCTGGGGTTCAGGAGCACTCCTTCTGGTTAAATGTACAGAACTAGTAGGAAATGGCAGAATGTGACGTTAGCAAGGCAAGTGGCCCACAGAAGAGAGGCAATATTCAAGTATCCGATAGCAGGAGAAATGTAAATTTTAATGTCTTCCTGTTGCCTGGGATCAAAGAATCAAACTCTCCCTGGCAGCCTCTAGCAGATTCAAGTTACAAATAGTTTCTAGACACTGTAGAGTCTAGAACGTACATTAGAACAAAGTAAATGCAGTTCCTCTTCAGCAATTATCAGCCAGTGTGTATAAAGAGAAGACGCGATCTGTGATGGCTTCATAGGAACCAACTTTTATATGCAATATTCTTAATGGCAAGCTGAAGGTGGTTGTCCTTGAATAACTTCATTGTTCTGTTTAAAGGCCTGACTGTTGTCTTCTCTTGCCTTTCAAATCACTTCAGGCTTTTAATGTTTGGAAACTAAGTAGGAGATCCAGTTTTATTAAGAGTTTGAAGTACAATAATTAGGGTGTATGTCTGAAAATGGTGGAAAATAACAAATTTACCTCATTGGAAAGTGCTCGAGAAGTGGTCTCATCTTTTCCTGCTTTTAGCTTTGTAAGGATCAGCTTGTCAAAGTTATTTGCAGGCTACAAGATATGAGAGTGAAAGATGGTAGCTGTTAAGCGGAGGTTAATTGCCTGTATGAACTTACTGAGAATTTACAGTTTTATGCTGTCACATCACTGGTCTTACAGAATTGTTAACGGGTGCTTCTGAAACTGAATTTCAGGCCTCTGAAAGTACTAAAAGTTTCATGTTCATATCATGCACTATCTCACCTGCAAACAGCATACAGCACCAGACGTTTCATGTTAGATGTTCAGGTAAATTTTAATCTCCTGCTTGCTGTCTATAACCTCTGAAGCAAGTTTGCTGTAATAGCCACTCTTCTGCCCTCCTTGCTTTCCAACATGGGTGTTTTGCTCTAAAACTAGCCCCTTTAGCAGCTTTGTCTTCAACTGGTAGTGGATGATGCTGTGTTCACTGCTGGCACAGCACATCACAGCAATGCTTTTGTATTTGTATAAATTCATATAAATTGTATATTTTGAATAAATATGAGGAGTTTTCATCACCTGAATATGGGATTTAACAGCTATACTGTGTCATCTTTATAGTCAAGAGTCAATAATCTCAAAAGTATCATGTAAAATACTGAAAATACTCCAATTTTTACCCCATTGACTAAGAGGCATTGATAAACATGCTGTTGAGGATAATGTTCTTGCTCTTGCCTTCTTTATGCTAAAAGTGTTAGAACAGTACTGGGGCTCTTAGAGACCAAGAAAAGGTGTATCTGTAGGCAAGCCCTTGATAGGTTTGCTGCTTCTAGCACCTCAGCCCCTACCTTAAGGTCACAGTGTGAAGCCATGCCAGTGCTGTAAACAGGGCCCCTGGAGCCAGCTTGTGCCTTGTCTGCTAAGTTTTGCCACTTCTAACTGTTGTTGGCACTATACTACTTCACTGAAACTGAAATTGCTATGGTTGCTTTTATTTCCTACGAGGTTCCCAGCATCCTAAAGCATGAATGCTTAGCCTTGAACTGACTTTTGGCGACAGAAAAGAAAAAAAACACTGAAGAAATGTGAAATTCCTTTGTCCTTACATGCTACAAAGATTTATGAGTCCATAATGACACCAGACAGATCTAAGTTAAAATATTTCTGTGCCTGAAATGTTTCTGTCACTTCCATCTGTACTTAATGGATTCTTTTTATCTTGATAGAATCTGCTCCTGTGACTTCTCCATTTGAATAATAAGTAAAATAGAAAAATTGTTGTGAGTGTTTAGACAGAACTGCACAATAATCAGATTAAATCAATACATTAATAATAAAGATGGCTTACCTTGGATATTAATTTTGAATCTGCCTTATTAGACAGCCAAGCTGAATCCCCAATTCTGAAATATTTAACCCCTGGTTACAGCATTTAAAGCCTCATTTTAGTTTTAATATCTGACAATGACCGGTTTTCAAAATGAAGTGGTATTTTTAGCCACTCAGTAATAATTCATCTTTTCCTGCTCTCTTGTATATATTGTGGAGCAAGTGTGGTACAGAATTGTCAAGCAGAACCATGTATTAAACATGTGGCGTAAGTTTGTCAGTTGGGAACTTCTAGACATTTTTTTAATATTAAAAAAACCTCACAAACTGTGTGTGGTATTTGGTGTGTGCAGTATTCGGTATCTTTTGAGACATATTTAGCTGCTACCTTGACAGAGATTTAGGAAAGTTCTGCTTGGGGCAGTTGGAAGTGTCACCAGAAAGACGTTTTAGTGAATGTTTATAATGTCTGGATGTATGCAATGACCAGGCTCGCTACATGGTAGCTCACCCCAGGTTGTCATTAGTTTAAAGTAAGTATATAGACATGTTGTGCCCAATTTATTGTTATAGGACAAAATTTTGAGAGGAACTTACAATTACACAAACAGTAAGATAGTGTGAGCTGAAATAGCAGCGACAAAATGTTTAGGCCAGGTTTCTTATTCCCTTCATATTCTCAGTGGATGTGCAGACTTGTGGGTGTGCAGATTTGTACATGGGGGAGAATGCTTCATCCGCCTACATGGAACCAGGTGGCAGAGTCTGTACACAGTCTATGTGCATCCCTGCAAAATCATGGAGGCGGATGGATTGAAAACTGTAGTAGAAAACAGTCCTTTGATGTTGTGGCATGTGGCAAAAATGCTGCTTTCAAGCTCAGCCAGCTTTTACGCTGGCCAGCCTGTGCCAGCAGCTGTGTGAGATCCATCCCCAGCTTCAGCATCTCTTATGGTACTCAAGAGGGCTAGGAGTTCCTGTGTTCAAAGTGGTCCTTTTATCTTTTTCCTATGCCCATCAGAGTGAGAATAGCCTCATACTGTTGGGCTTTGAGTCACCATTGTCAAGGCTGCCCTGTCCCTGCCCCTAATCCAGAGCTGTGGCAATCAGTAATAGGACCTACTTGTCACCTTGCTGTTTTCTTTAGTCTCATGACTGGGACTAAGTTCTTCTGGGTGTACTGACAATACTGGTTGTTCTCTTCACCTCTGCCCTGTGTCTCCCTCTCTTGGCAGAAAGTGTCATGGTGTTAGCTTTTTTAAGCATTTTGGTTTTTCCTTCCAAGATTAGACTGGCCCAAACACACGAACATAGGAGAGGGAGTATACATGCTACCAATATCCATAAAACAGCAAACTCACCGGGGTGTAGATGAAGACAAAGTAACAAAACGGAAGGTTTTTTTCACTGATCTGTGCTGGGATCTCTTGGGGACCAGAGTGAAAAGGATTCTGCATCCTTCGACCAGCCAAAGTGCTGCATGGTGTTTGTTCCTCTGTAATTGGAATGTATGGAATATTTGCAAGGCAGTGGAAACTGGGGAAGGTCCCAATGGAACATGGATGAGTCTTTTTGGAAACATGACAGTGAGTTTTCAGTGGAGAACGGGGTTAGAAACTAAGAAATAAAAAGTGGTATCTAACCAAAGATTCCAGTGGCATAAAATGGTCTTGTTCCTGTTGCGCTCCCTATGGGGTTTGTTTCATGATATTGGGGTAAGATTACTAATGGGATTGTTCCTATTGAGCTGCTGTTCAGGTTAATAGCATGATGCACATCCTGATGTTTGCAGGGTTAAAGGTCTTTCTTTCTATTACGTAAGTCCAAATACATTGTCTGTCTGGAATCTAATACTCTTTGTGCTTGTTTTAATAAAAAATGTTTAAAAATAATAGAGGAAAGTAGGTCAATGCTGAAGGTAGGAGGGGTGAGGAGGGAACATAAAAATCTCCCTTTCCAGTGCAAAATAGATGGCAGCTGTCTTTAGGTGTTACAAATCTGTATGGACTGGATAAATAAGCTTTTGCTTGTTGTCACCTACTGAGAGAAGAAACTTAATCTTGACATTGGAGAAGCTGCGGGCCCTCAAGGCTGCATCTTCAGATCTGCTCTTACCTTCCAATTTCCCTTCCTTCTCAAAGTAGGGAGGTAGTATAATTTGCTTCAGTCATAGCTGATGATCACCATTTGACACACATTCTCAGTCTGGACATCACTTAAGAATAAAAAATTTTTTTTTGAATAACCACTATAGGATCATCTTATGAAATGGAGAACCCTATCTATCTTACTCAGGTACAGAAACAGACTCCCCAAAACAGCTGCAACCCTTTCCCTTTATCAAATCTTCTGTTTCATCAGGTGATTATCTCTGTTGCATTAGGACCACTTTCAGATTTTTCATTTCACAGGATAAGGTATTCTTATGCTAAGCAGTTCAAAATTATATAATAAGCAAAAACTGGGGACACAAGTGTACAGCCAGAACCAGCCACACTTAAAGTGTGTCAGTCTGTCAGCATATGGCAGAGCTCATGCTGTGAAATTCAACTAAAACAGAGATAGTAATTGTATGTTAATGAGGCTCTTTGCATGTTCAATTATTTCATTGTGGCATAAGCCCCCCTTCCTCCCCTATTTC